TTCAACATCTCCTCATTGACGGTGACGGCGCTGCACTCCACCAGCTTAATGTCCGCCGGAATTCGCTCCCCCGTTCGAAAGAAGATCAGGTCGCCGACGACCAACTGGGCGTCATCCACCTCCCGCGGAACGCCCTCCCGTATCACCACGCTGTAGTCGGTCAGAAAGTCCCGACAGCTTTCCAGGTAGTAGTCGCACTTGGCGTCCATGTAGTAGGAGAAGACGCCCAGGGCGAAGACGAAGGCCAACAGGGAGAGGCCAATGTACAGCTGACAAAAGAAAAAAAACTCTTTAAAAGATAAGATAAAAGTTTTTTAAAAGTAAAAACATCACCCACGTTATCAGGCTTAATCTCCAGGTCGTGCNAATTGAAAAAAACTCTTTAAAAGATAAGATAAAAGTTTTTTTAAAAGTAAAAACATCACCCACGTTATCAGGCTTAATCTCCAGGTCGTGCTCCAGCAGGTAGTTGTCGGTGAGGTAGACGACGAAGCAGAGCAGGGCGCCGAACCAGAGCTGCGCATTGTGGACGCCGAAGAGGTTGCCGAGGAACTTGTAGAACTCGGCGCGCCGTTTCCGCTTCACCTTCGCCACGTTGAGGCCCTGGTAGGAGAGGCGCTCTCGGGCCTCGTCTGCCTCCAGTCCCTGGGGGAGGGGGAGAGGTAAAATGTGGTTTGTTGTTGAAAGAATTGAAAGTTGTGGACTTTAAGTCTGAATAAGAAAGAAAAAACTGTTTCAAAACTCACATTCTGCAGGTCAGTCTCAAAGGCGGTCTCCACGTGCTCCAGCGGCAGCTGCAGGTCGACTACCAGCGAGTGGAGAATCTTCGCCTCGTTGATCATCTCTCTGTGATGTTTTTTTATCTCTCAGAGTTTTTGATCTTTTGAGTAACTTTTGTGGTGCTTTAACATTTTGTTTTTACCTATCATCAACACTTTTACACTGTTTTGGTCACTGTTTTATCACTAATCATTAGACGGCAACAAAACCGGTGAAAGCGCCAGCAAAAAAAGGTGGGTAATTTACATTTATATGACGACTCTCTCTCTTTCTCTCTCTCTCTCTCGCTCTCTCTTGATGCAAACAGCAGTGAAAACAGTGAAAAGCAAACTGCGACTAAAATTTTCCATAGTTTAAGAAAAGCTACCACTAACAGAAAAGTTGCTCCATCATCGGCAATTGAAAGTGACTAAACAAAAAATTTTGTTTGAAGCCACTTTCTTATTTTCTTTTTACTTTTTGGTACCATCGTTTAAACTGAATAAAGAAAAACGACACGAAAAAATTGAAAAAGCCGCAGGCTGATGTTGACGTTAAATGGTGCAAACCTTTGTCTCTGTTAATTGTTTGCAAATCAATTTTTTTTGACGTTTAAAAAAAGTTAAAAAGTTAAAAAGATTGCAAAAGCATTTTTTTATATCTTACGGTAAACGAAATTCTTTGACTGTAACAAAACGAGATGAGATTTTATTATCGTTTTGTGGTTAAATTAAATTTTTTTTATTAGAATTCCATTGTGGTTTTTTGTTTAAATTATATTTTCTTTTTAAAAAGTTGAGCCCATGTACAAATTCTAATGTTTGATATTAAACAACATTTGTTAGTATTTTTATAAGCGTATTCCACAAGATGAAATGACTGCAAATACCAATTGTGTACAAAATTAAGTCGGAATTATATATGCAATTTTATATTATTTTATAAATAGGAGTATAACATTTATTTTTATAACTAAATAATACTTATAAAAAATGTTATTAAAATGATAAAATATTAACAGATTAAAATATAAATTGTAGTTTGTGTAAATATGTGCCAAAGTTGTTATTAGATGACTGCTTAAATATAAAAAATGCTGATAAATAAACAGACATTGTATTATTACTTTACAAAAATTTTTGCATTATTTTAACAGACAAAAAATGTTTTATTACTAGTATAAACAAACTAAAATAAAAAAATTAATGTAAAATTTTATTTTATTTTTTGCATTCAAAAATTTATTTGTAAAAAATTAAAAAATTTAAAAGTTTTGATTATTATTTTTTAAACCGGCCGCTACGTATAAACTTTTTTACAAATTTATAAATAATATTTCTCAAGTAAACAAAATTTTTGTTATGTAAAAAACCTGTCACTGTTTTGATTTGTTAAAATTGCAAAAATGACACAATTTTAATATTAATATAATTTTGTTTTATTTTTTAAGGCTAGAAAAAACCATATATGATTTTAGTAAAAAGTACTGAACATGTCCTAAACATCAATTTTATTTAAATATAAACATTTTATGGTATGTTGCGTGGCT